GCTAAATCAATAAATTATAATAAATTATGCAGAGTATATATATATATAGATCTATATATCTAATGTGTATATAGGATTGTCCATAGTGATTTTTGCAACAACCTGTCAGTTTGCAATGTTCAAAACTCCAGTATATCAATTTGATTTCAATTTAAGTAGTAAGTTCACAAAAATTTTTAAATGCCCCAGCTCCTGAGAGTTGCTTAAAGATTACTGGCCTCAACATTGTCAATACTTTTATTACATTTAATAGTACTTATACAATACTTTACTTTACCAACATGTCACCTAATTTATAACGAGCTCATAAAAGCTTGTTTAAGTGTGAATGTGAAAAAAACTTGATAATTATTGAACATAGCCTGGTATGAGTGCCAGGCTTAAAGACAAACTTAGTTTATATCTATTAATGAGGTACATTGTCGAAAACTCTAATGCAAACCTACCATGTACATGGGAGAACCACAAAGAGTTGCAGCCATCATCTCACCAGGAAGAAACCTTGCAAACCCAAAGTCAGCTAAAAAAAGTCACAAATTAAAGCATTAGTGAGACAACACATTAATAATCATTGATGATGATACATATTTCAATAATCAATAACAGAGCCTTTGTGTACAAAGGGTGGATAGTGCTATCCAAGGGATAAATCGGTGCTGATATCCAATAAATTTATCCACTGGATAAGGAGGATTTATCCATTGGATAGCACTTTCCACTCTTTGCACAACCTGGCCCAGTTCTAAAGGACTCTAATGGCTGCAAAATCAACTATCTTTCTCATTTTCTCATGCAATAGTAGTATCATTTTGTACTTTGGCTAATGCACTGTTTACCTGTGTGATAAAATGAGTAATAGATAGCCAAGGCTAAATAATAATGGCAAAGCTAACGGCTCACCAAAATTGACACTACAAATTTTATGTCCCAATGCCTTTTTGACTATAGTATCTGCATATTGATCAGTTTCAGTTTTATGTTTCAGCCCTCATGTTGATCAGCCCATACAGTTTTGGGTGCTTACCAATTTTGATCTTGATGTCAGAAGGAGATGGATTTGAGGTGCCAGTGTAACTTAAAAGAAGATTCTGAGGTTTCAAATCCCTGTGCATTATTCCCTTCGACTGAAGTGTACCCATAGCAGAAGCTAAGAAATACAAATAAGAAGATAATAAAAATATTAAGTATCATTTCCTTGGGCTACCTGTGTCTTTTTTCCACAGGAATCCCATAATGGTTGGTTTGTCCCATCAGGTTTCCTGGATTAAATGAATTTAAGGTGACTGCCTAATTTTTGCTCAAAAAACTTGCATACAGGCATCCATTAAATACAGATTATCTTGAAAACAAGCTTGGTACACCCCATTATATTTTTCTTTTCATATTTGGAATCAGCATTAAATTTCACTTTAGAAAAATGTAGTTTTTAAAAAAGTTTATGATTTTTTCCAAAAGTAGCCAGTCACTTAAAATTCAATATTTGGAAACATACCTATCTGTTTAAGGAATATCCTAATTGTGTCTTCACTCAGAGTTCCTTTTGCTGTGAAAATATATTTTTTAATTAATAATGAGCTACAATGTAGCTTGACCAGCCCCTCACTTGGTATATATGTACAATACATCAAGCAAAATATGATACTTAGATGGAAATAGATATTGGGTAGTTACCATGGGCAGCATCAACTTTTTTACCCCCCCCCCCCCCCCTTGCCTTTGGAAACTCAGAAATCTTTCAAGGCTCCTGGCTCAAGGAATTCCATGCAAAATAATTGGGTTGTGTTTGAATTTACCTTGAAGATAGTCAGCAAGATCTCCTCCATTGCAGTACTGTAATTAAATTAAACAAGTCAATAATAAATGAATAAATGACTGATAATTTGTAGTGGCAAATAAAATAATTTTGCTCTCACCTCCATAACCAGGTAGACATTGTTTGGTCTTTCCTGTTTGGTAATAAAATAGGAGAGACAGTATAAAAATATGCTGATAGTATTGGCATGAATACCTGCTCCCTCTGGGTCAATACTGGTGAATGCCAATCTTAATTTTGCAAACCTTACCAAATTTTAACGATTACGAATAATCAATAATCAAAATTATTCTATACCTAAACAAAAAGATTATTTACCTGACAATCATATAATGCAACAACATTTTCGTGATGGAGTTCCTGTGTCAAAAAGAGTTATGCAATGAATGAGATAAACTTGAGCATTGTATAATATTTCAAATATCAGTCACACGAGGTTTGACCTTGGGAACTGTTTTCTCCAAGGTTTTGGTCTTTTTTAATAACATAACATTTAGACAAAAATCCTTCGTATTATTTGTTCTTGAAATACTCAAGAATTCCTCTTTGAAATTCTTAAGACTCCCTACATCACTTCAAATTTTATATTTTGTAGCTTTGCAACACGAAAGGACTAATGATGCAATCTCATATTGTTGACTGACAAAAAAAAAATCCATATTGTGTCCTAATTCCATACCTTTAAGATTTTTATTTCCTTTGCCAAAAGGTTTTGGGTTTTGGACAAGTTCTTCTTGGATATAACCTTTATTGCCACCACAAAATCTTCTTTCTAAATATGGTAAGAAAATGTGGTTAGCTCGGTTATTTTCATCATCTTACGAGAGCTAAAATAAGATTGAGAACTTCGACTGTTTACAGAACAAAAAGGCGGGATCTGCACATAAAACCGTTATAAGAATAAGGTTTGTCCAGTTTGTATCTTAGGGACAACATTATATCACTAAGGAATTGGATTTAAAATAGAATAATAATCTCATTAAAAAAACGTAGATGAGAACATGAATCACGAAAAATATCGTTGTACAAAATACAAGTTTCGTGTTAACTAAATCGAAAGATAAACGGTCAGTTGGAAGAAAAATCTAAACCTAGAATACAAGCACATTTACTTAGGAAATTCCCTTGTTTTTCACAATTAATTGCACATAAAGCACAAGAGGACCACTAAAACCTTTTAAGGAAAAAATTCCTGTCGCTCCGATCCAGCCTTTGTTTCGAAAAGGAAGAGATTACAGAATTTATTATTAAAGCTTACAATACCTTTGTATGATGCCCCTTAAAGACGACAGCAAATGCTCCATGACCTATAAGGTCTTTCTTATTGTAGCAGAAGTCTCCAACTACTTCTGTCATGACGAAGGTTTACAAAGAACGCGGAGAAAATTTTTTTCTTTGTCTTTGGTGGTTCCGAGAAACGAGTGCTCGTTCTCTCTCAAACGACCCTTCACTGGCTCCAAAAATACAAACTGAATGGCTTAGTTTGTTAGGACTATCGTGTCCTTGAGTTCTATGAGTATAATTCATAACTATTAAGGGGAATTCATGTTGCTTTTCTCTCTCCTTCTTCTCTATTTTCAAGCATGGCTCTGTCAAATCTCTAACAATGTTTTTGTTTTGATCCTCTTCGTCGGGTAACTCAAGGGCCTTGAATTGACGTCATAGTTCGATAAACCTTCGGAAGCACGTCGGAAAATTACTCGATTAAGCACAGGAAACCCATGATAGACAGATAGTCAGATATATTTATCAAGACTCAACCCTTCTCTTCAGGGAGCAACGTTTGCCACGGAGAAAAATGTAATGCACCGAAGGAATAACAGATTTTGGCTGCGTTATGGATAGATTGATCAGTCAAATTAAAGTTCTTACTTGCGGTGCATTTTTAGAAGTTCCGAAAAAATTCGCGCAATAGCCAGAGGTCTCGGGATCCTCTGATCAGTAAAGAAAGAGTTCAGTGTTAACACAGGAACATTTTAAATGTATTACTTCCAGTGAGTGATAGAGTAATATAGAACACTATGAATAAATTTTAAGGCATCCATCAGGTAAAATTCTCGTAAGATTTTAAAACACAGATGGATGGGTGGGTTCATGTGATTGGTCCACGGAATGAAAAGTTGTAAAAAAAAAAAAGTAATCTGAGAAATTCCTGGTTTACATGGTAGAAGGCAAACGAAAAATTAGTAGGAAGTTAGGATAGGTAATCAGTTGACAGAAAATTTCGTACAATCAAAAATCACATAACAGTCTGATAGACTCCGTTGCAGACGTCCTGCGGGGTTCGGTTTGTGGAGGGATCCGAACCGAACCCCGCAGGACGTCTGCAACGGAGGCTAACAGCCTGGCAAGAGAGAAAACAATTTTTTTAATACTCGCTGAGTGATTACAAAATAAAACCATCCTTTCTAAAACTGATTTTCTTCCAATATTCATTATCAGGCAAATATATAGTTCCTTGTTTAAGATTTTATTTAAGATTTTATTCCACGAAGTTGGAACAATTAACCAATCATATTTACTGGAATATCAGACATTCAAAAACAGGTGTTTTAACCAGAAGTTTTCAACTTCACGCAACTCCACTAATGAAATGATTAACTCATACTACCGTGATAATGTATTTGTACAAAGTACATCAAGGAACAGTTTCAATAGTCTACTCATACATATACAGGGATATCAAGTTCGGTGAAGTATATTTAACTTATAGGGATAACAAAGCCATACTGATCATCGCTTGTGGAATTTCTTGCTTGGGTCTTTAGCGTAGTCTTGTAACAACTGACAAGGCTGGAATTGAACTTCACCAATGGTTTGCTGTAGTTCTTTCATTCTATTGACGAATCTCTCAGCTCCGTATGTATCTAGGAAACGGAATGGTCCTGTGTGGTAAAAGAAAAAAAGTTTTATAATGTAGTATTATATTGCAGAACACTGAAACTTTTAGTCCACTGAAAACGTTCTTCTGAAGCCTGAGGAACTGGGTCGTCTGGGGTTGCGCATTTGGAGTGTTTGTGGGATTTGTAGCTCAAATAATTAAGATTAACCAGGGTTTTACAGTCAGGCTGCACAAAGGCTAAGAATACAACATTCCATAGAAAGTATTAAGAGTTTTATAGGATATTTGTTAAGGAAAGAAAATATCACTAAAGGCAAAATGTAAGCCAACGTTTGGTCGTTGGACTCTGAAGATGACTTCCGCGCAGGTTGTTGAAACGTCAGTCACAAAGTACAACTTACCTCCATGGAATGGAGGGAATCCAAGACCAAATACTGCTCCAATATCTCCATCAACCTAACAATCAATGACGGGCGCAAGGTTATTTCTGATAAGTTGTTTGTAAAATGGTAAGCTCTTAAAGGATATAAGGTCATGTATTGGCAGAGAGTTCCGCTAACTAATGATGAATGGAGTAAATTTTGCGTAGATATTAGTAAAAACATGATCCATAACCATGGCAAGTGAAATAAGAATGATTGGGAATGGTATGAGTGGAAAATAGTATGAGTGAGAAATATAGTGACTTTGAGAACATGTATTATTCGTCCAGTCAGAAATGGTTACACATACAGTATGGCATTAATTTCAAACTCCTATGAAGACTGCTATCCTTAACCAAGCATTGACAAAGCTAGTTCTGTTGTTGGTCAATACATACAGGGTTACTGAGAATGCCTTCCTGTAGACACAGAGCAGCTTCGTTTATAAATCGTCCAGCCAGCCTGATCTGGATTTCTTCTGCCTCATGACTAAAACATACCAAATTAATTACAAAGTACGTATTAAATCTTGTTATAGGGTTATATGGTAATTATAAAACATAATGCATGCTGCTGACTTGTGGGAAGGGAGGGGTCCCAACCTTCAACCTCGTTAAAAATACCAAATTTGTTATCTGTCCTGAATCCATATCTTGTGTACATGTAGTCATCCCCCATTTCTAAGTATAATGCACGTCCATGATACTTACCTTCCCTTCTTGGGTACTTTAAATTGCTTCAGAATATCAAGAGCTTCGCTGTTCAACTAACAAGAGACAGGCATATATTAGTTTTGAATTTATTGGTAAACTAAACTACAAATTATTCCAAACAGAAGAGCCATTTAATTTTTCCTAAAATTTCCTTCAGGTAAGAGTTTTCTTGTTTCAAGTTTCTTTCCAACGTTTCTTTCTTTTCAACAAAATCAAAACAAAAGAAAGAGAGAAAAGAAAAAGAAAAAGAAAAAGAAGAAAAAGATACTAAAGAATGAATACGACTGAGACAATGCTAAAACATGTTGATGAAATTTGCACTTAACGTAAAGTAGGACGACTTTAATTTTGTTTTACGATGAATGGAAAATTCATTCTGTTTTTTAAAAATCAGAATGGCTGTTTTGTTTTTACTCACAGTTCGTTTGCCACCGTAGTTGTAGAATCCTTTTCCTGATTTCCTTCCTAATGCACAAAAGTGAACAAAAATTAGTGGGGCAGTTCTGAAGAGACAAAGGAGCAGGAAGGAGAGAAGAATAAAAAGGAGGGTGGGGGAGGAGAAATAAATGAAAAGAAAAGGGAAAAAAGGGTGGAGAGATGGGAGAAGAGGAAAAATGGGGGGGGGGGGGGGAGAGGAGGACAAAGTAACAGGGAAAGGAGGATGAGGCAAGAACAGAGGGATAGGAAGGAAAAAGAAGGATAAGGTTAAGGATAAATTGCATCATGCAATGGTCTTTTTGGCAAGCAAATGTGTGTGGTAAAGTTACCTAGAAATCCACGTTCTACTAAAGTTTTGAGTACTCCTATATCTGCACCACCCAACCTGGAGATTGAATAAGATTAATATTAACATCCAATGCAGCTGTAGGGATAATCATCATCCCAAATTTAAAGATGATATGGCTCATTTTAGGGTATGTTGAACTAACCTTGGTCCAAGGGCTTTTGCTAGATCTTCAGCTACATGACATGCCACATCAATGCCAACCTAAAAGAAACAATACAGTATGTTACCGATCCCTGAAGCACAACAAAGGCTGTAAAAAATTACATTGATAATGATTCTCTTTCAAAGGTGTCCATGAAAGAAGGAGTTTTCGAAATCAAAAAAGGTAAATCAGAACTGATCTCCTTTTCTAAAGAGCCTTGATGATGCTGACAATGATCTCCTAAGGAAAGTGACAATTCATCATTCAGTCTCTTACCTCATCAGCTAGTGTCACACTTCCAACTGGAAATCCAAACTTTTTGGTAAGTGAATCAAGATCCTTTGGATCCACACCCTCCTGCAAAACCAAAGGATTCAATTTATTTTACCTTGTTTAGAGGTTACCCATGACGCAGGTGAAAAGATATTTATTTATTTATTTACATTTATTTACATTCATATTTTAACAGGAAGCTTCTTCACTTATAAATGTGATTTTCAAGAAGGTCCTGATAAGTAAGATATTTTTACAATAATATGCAAAAAGAGAATTTGGAGGTTGAATATCGAAACCAGCTCGTTACTGAAAAGTCAACATCATTATAAGCCTTTTCATAGTTTAAGAATCGATTCCGCCATGCATGCGACCCCATCCGGAATTTATATAATAAAAAGTTTTGGACGAYTAGATCTATCTTAGGACCATGCAAGTAACAATCAAAGCAGAAATTCAAGTAGTTTTCATAAAAACTAGAATCGTAAAATTCAAGAGTTTTTCAAGTGCACTACAATTACATTCAAGAAGTTTAAGGAGTAGCAAGATATCTAACACCCTGTGCCAGACCCAACCCAAAATTTTTATATCATGTTACAAAAGGTTGCTTGTTGCAAGAAGAGCTGTCATCAAACAGTACCAGTTACTTGTAGAATACAATTATTTTCTTGTTGCACAAGAGAACTGGGTCACTAGAGTTAGCCAAAACATAAAAAAGTGCTCTGAGTAAGAATATTGAAAATGACTTACCTGCAGTAAAGCAATTGCTTCAGCTAGAGCAGAGGCAAGAATTCTTGTTGTATAAAATCCTGGTCCATCCTGTTTGAACATATAAAAGCTACTGTGATCAAATTCCACCATATGGTAATACCTTGTCATATTTCTAAATTTGGACTGTCGCAAGCTCAATAATAAAAATGTTTATTGACTGCTAGAGATACCTTGACAACAATGACTGTTTTTCCTTGTTTAAGGCCAACACTGACTGCAGCAGCTGTGAAAAGGAAACCAAAACAAGTTAATCCTGTAATGTGGTGTGGACCTGCCTAGTGGGGACCTGCTTAGTGGGGACCTACCTAGTGGGGACCCGCCTAGTGGGGACCCGCCTAGTGGGGACCCGCCTTGTGGGGACTGCCTAGTGGGGACTGCCTAGTGAGGACCTGTCTAGTGGGCCCTGCCTTGTGGGGAGCTGCCTAGTGCGGACCTAAATAGTGGAGACATGAATAGTGGCGAAATGCCTATTGGGGACCTGCCTAGTGGGGACCTGAATAGTGGGGACATACATTGTGTGGATCTATGTAGTGGGAACATTCCTAGTAAGGTCTGGACAAGTGGTTACCCACCAAATGGGGACATGCTGAGTGAGGGCCTACCTGCAGTATCCTGAGATGTTTTGTCGGTAGTAATAATTTCTAGCAAAGGCATCTTGTCAACAGGAGAGAAATAATGCATACCAATAACCTAAGTATTGAACGGCGTTCTGTATTAGTAATCATGACTTACAAGATAGCTAGCAGTCTGTCAGCATTTTGTGCTAGAGGGTGCAAACTCTGTTATATTTTTTACAAAATAAAACATATCAATTAATGACAAAGGTACTATGATACAAGAAAGGTTTACCTTTTCAGGCCTCTTACTAGCTTTTGCGATCTGGTAATTCAAGAATTGCATTAAAAATATTTAGTGAAGTTTAAAAATTGAAAATGGTAAATATCATATTTAAGAAATTAAATTACTGAGATATCCATGCATGTGAACAGCAAATTTCTATTGTGCTATTGCTCTTACCTCATTAATTGGTAGAGCAGATGTGTTAGTTGCAAAGATACAGTGATCTGGAATAACCTGAAAACGAAATGATCAGACTAGTAAATAAGACTTAACTTTAACACTAGATCTGCCCAATAGATACAGGAAATGAATGTCTGGTATCTACTTACAGCTTCAACTTCTTTGATAACGTTATGTTTGATATTGATATCCTCAAATACTGCCTCAATAACCATGTCAGCTTTTTCAAAGCCCTACAAAAGGCAAAAATGAGTTGAGAAAAGTATATATGGAGTCCAGCAGTCAAATAAAATTGATTTAAATAGTTCAGCAGCCCATCTGTAGACAGTCTCTCAAGTTTTGTAACTATCTATGGCTGTGACTAGGGAAATAGAAGCACTTTTTACGATCTTTTAAGGTAGGAGCTTCAGACTTACCTTATAATCCAATTGCCCCTCTACTTGGGACATTATTTGATCTCTTTCGAAGCTGAATTACAAAAAGTACAGTATCAATAATTAGTGATGTTGTTTTATATAAAAGATCCAACAATAAGAGTACTAGCCATTAATTACCTTGTTAAGGCTTTTCTTTTCACCTTGTCATTTAACCTGAACAGAAATATTGAAAGAAAAAAAAAAGATTAATTTAAATATTAGTTTTTTTAAGAAGTCTGCAAAAAATGTTTTTAGGAGTGGTGCACTATTTACAGTAGAAAAAACGTACATACCTCCCTAGGCACCCTTTTAAATATGATCCTGAACTCACCCTTTGAAGATCTGCTGTTTGCCTCTAGCCAGACCAGCTATTTGGTTGTCTTTCATCATAACATGTTCACCTTTGTTGATACTGACCTATAGCATCCAAGAGAGAAGATACAAAAAACGTTGAACAAAATAATGATGTAATATTACATCATAATTATAATATCTTCTCAAGGATGTTTTGCTTTTATGATGTTTTTATTAAAGTTAAATTCCAAACTTTCTGTTCATTGTTCCATTGAGGACACTTAAAACTCTGGTGTATACAGGGTTAGCCTCAAATCCAGGAATTCTTTGTTTTGTTATTCTAATTTCTGCTTCTGTTTTCCCATCTCAATAACGAGACTAAGTCCACATGACTGGAGTTTTAAGATTCGTCAATTGTTAAGGGAGAGTGAAAAAAGTATCAAAATAACACCCTACCTGGACTATCCCAGCACCCATTAGACCAGCTCCAAGTACACCTATAGTTCTGTTGATGGGTCATTCAAAAAACGTATGTTAGAAGAGAAAAGGTGAACCAAACTCCTAGTACCATATATCCATGAAAAAGTTAACTAACAAATATATATACATTTAGTACAAAGTTTTGCAGGTCAAAGGTCTACTGAGATCTAATGAACTTACTAATTTGTGCAAATTTGTGTAATATCTTACAAGGTTTTTCATGGAGGGATAATATGGTATTCACTCTCAGCCAAGATACTGTGTGGGTGCATAATATAGAAACTAAAGGAAGATATTCTGATACATAATATACATAAAGTCACCCACTTCAAAAAATATTGAGTAGATAATATGGTTTACATTTATTTATTATATAAACTTACTTAACAGGTCTTGCAGGATTCCCAAATCTATTTTTCTTGCATTCTGTTTGTCCAAAGAAGAGTCCCATTAGTGCTCTTGACTCGCTCATTTGACTTAATCGTCCAAACTCCTAAGACGCAAAGAGAGAGAGCATTACTTTAGACAAGTATTCAACATGGCTCAGCTTAATGATAACATAAAATTATGAAGTCTTTATCACAAATGTTGAGCATTTTTGGTTTCTACACCTGATGAATCTTAATTGATATGAAAATAGTAGCATCCCATTATCTCAAGAATTTGGGAGACAAATTCAAACTTTGTAATAACTGGGATGCAAGATATCCATGGTATAATAATGCAGTCCACAGGCTATCATAGCCTCAAGTTTGAGATATTCAGGTTTTGAGATATCAGGACACCACTGTTAGTAATGGGTAGACAACAAAATTAAATTTACCTCTGCTTCCTTCAGATAACCTTTAGCTGGTCCATTTTCCAGTCCTTCTCTTACACACTGACAAAGAAAACCGTGGTTTAGGTTAATTATGGACAGTGGTAAAATGTTAATGTTTTGCTTTCCTATACCTTCAAATTTCATTGATACCCTGTAACAACCTCTGGGCTGATTTAAAGTCAGGGTTCAGCTAACTCACAGATCTAACCCTGGAACAAACTCTGGGCGAATCAAGGTTGGGCACAGCTAACTTGAATATTTAATTGGTCTTTAGCCACTGTGATTGAGGTTGGGTTCCTGCTACTGTATACTTAGATTGTAAATAGTACTCATATCACATGTTTCCAAAGCTGTGACTGTGGGTTGCACTTTTAACCACCTCCATTGCTGCAAGTCTTGCATATCAAAAAATTACACCACTTTTAACATTTAACTTTTTTCCTAAAAAGGATCATGAGATTGTATATTATGGTGAAATGATGCATTAACTGATGACATTTGTTGAAAAATCACAGCAGGGCACTTAACCATGGTCTCGGCATGTGACGTCAGTACCCAATAAGTTTTTAGGTGAAAATTGTGCTATGTACTTACATCAATGATCCTGAGTGGTGCAGGATAAAGGCCACCAGTCTTCTTCATCACCTGATGGAAAAAGTACAATTAATGAAGAGTACGATAAACTTTGTCATCACATTGTCAAAGTAGAATGCGGATTCAATCACCTGCTTCATGGATCCACACCACTTTGACAATGTGATGATGCAATTTATCGTCAAAAGAGAAAAGACATAAAAACTGATGTAAATTTGTTAATTTGCAAAAGATGTAAATAAAAACCGTGAAATTAACTTCATTACCTTCAAATAAAATTACATCTACTAAGGTAAAAGTTCTTTCCTATTTTTCTACTTACTGTTTCTTTTGCCTTTTTCAATACAAAGTTTCTTCCATAGGATGTTTCTGTTGTTAAATTGTACTGAATATCTAAAAAGAAATGAACATACGGTAATGGATATGACATAGAGATATGACATAAAAAATATTTTTTAAAAAGTTTACAAAAGAATAATAAATCAATGTGCATTTATATAGCGCCATTTCCGGAGGCTCAATGGTGCAAAAGTAAGTTCTAGTGCAAAAAAGTGCTTTTTACCTTTCATGTTGGTCCATGATTTAGCTCTTTTTGGTTTAATAACTTTGCTAGCAAGATCCCTTCAAACAAACATCAAATACAAATTATAATATTAATATTAATCACACAATGATATATTATAAGTAATGTTTAATACACGAGCAGGAGTGTTTTATTGGGTATAAAGCACGAGGCGTAACCGAGTGATTTTAGAACTGATAAAACACATCGATCTGCGAGTTCATTAAACGGCTTAGAAAACTCATGATGTATGTTCTCATATTGTACAGAATTCTTTACRAAATGAACCAAGTTTGATAGAGAAAATCCAAGTTAAAGTTTATGCAAATGAAGACAAATCTATATCAGATATGAAACCTCCTTCATGGTCATGATTTCTATTGTGTTTCCTTCATGAATTATTAATGAGTTTTCTAATTATTATATAATGTTTAATATAATAATATTAGAATGCAAACACTAAGAGTGTGCAACATAAATATCAAATATAGTGCTATTTTATGCTAATCCTATTGTTTTCTTTTGTTTAATTAGTGCTATTTACTACTAAATAGTGATAACTATTGCACACATTTAGTGTTTGTACTCTATATTATATATTTATATATTATGATAATATTAATAATTAATATTATTATATATTATATATTATAAATCATTAATCATAATCATAAACCATATATAACATCTGTCAGTTATGATTAGTGTACACATATATAGATCCATCTCTTCCAAGAAAGCATAGCTGACACATGAATATGATACAACTCCAAATTAAAATCTTACTTCACAGGTGGTCTGAAAATGGAAAAGCAATACTTCTTATCTTTCCCCAATTCTACTGCAGCATTATGTACCTAAATTTTATCGCTTTGCATTCACTTACACACGTGTGACGTCACCAAGTGTGTGACTTATTTTCAGCTTGTTTTCAGTCACGCCAGAAAATATTGCTCTTTCAATTAAAAATCGCTTAGAAAAAAAGCTTTTCAGTTAGTTTTTTCTGCTTCCAGATTGCTATTTTTGGCATAAAGTGTCGGTAATAATTGTCAAAAATGGGTAAAAAATTGCCGGGACAGGCCCTATTACTTACTTGGCGGCATGAACTGCATTTTCTTCAAGATAATGCAGAGTGTTTTCTGGAGGTGATAAAAGACCAGGACCTAATGAAATAAGCAGATTATCGGACAAAAGTCAATAATGAAATAATGACTTACATAGCACCCGTTTTATGTAATTTATATAATTGAAAATATTTACCCACAACATGTAGGGAATTTGTAAGAGGACCCCTCTTACCTCCTGGAACTTCCAATTTTCTTCCATACAAACTTTGTAATGTTTTGTACTTTCTCTGACCCCCCTCCCATCCAGAATTTTTAATTTCTTCCATGGGTGGGGTATGGATATTTTCTGGAACTAAACAATACATGTTTTTACCCAAGCTAGACCAAAATGCACCATGTTCACTAAATTCAGAAATGACCTACTTGCCAGGGGAGTAGCGAGGTCTCGATTTTAAGGGAAGGGGGTTTGTATCATTTTCCTGCCAAATCCACAGGAATCCTGCTAGAATTAATTTAATTTTGGTGCAGTAAGCAAATGTTTGGGGATGAATGTTTCCTCGGTGCCCCCCTCCCTATGCTAGTGTTACTTTCATCAGCTTTAAAACTAAAATAATATTCAAGTAAGGACACACCTAGAGGCTGCACAAGCATGTCTACTAATCCCATTCTCTTTGCTTTACCAGCACGGATATTTTTACCAGTTAACATCATATCCAAAGAGTCAGGAAGACCAATCTAAGATTTAAAAGTAAAAATATACATTTATACATTCAAATTCTGAATACTGCCTTTCATGAAGTTGAAAATAAAGCTGGAAATTCTGGGAAAAGCTGGGAAGATCAATGTTGTGTATATTACAGTACTCATAACTTACTAGTTTGGGTAACCTCTGTGTTCCGCCTGCTCCTGGCAATAACCCTAGCATTACTTCAGGTGCACTTAAAACTGTTTTGGTATCATTTACTGCAATTCTATAATGGCAGCTAAGGGCAAGCTAAAAAAGGATGAAAAATATTTTTTTTAAATAATATAAAAATAAACTGGTAAGTAAAGATAGTTTTTTACTCTTGGGAGTATGTCACATGCTTTCAGTTCAACCCCGTTGAGCTGCGCCACTGCTGTACTTGCGGTGGTGATAAGAGATGACAAGTTTTTTACTATTAGGAGTATGTCTATAAAGCTAAAACTGTACAAATGAGCCTGTAATCAAGTAACACAGCAGAACATGTACATAAAGTGTAAAGGGAAACATTGTGTCCCTCCCGACAACTATTCTGACTGCTAAAGCTAGTTAATGACCACTTAATTGTTGACTTACCTCTAAGCCTCCGCCCAGACAACTTCCCATAATAGCAGCAACTATAGGCTTTGGGCTATCCTAGAAAAAAAGAAAAAATGCTTAGTTTTTCTAGTTGAAAATGGAATTTGAGAAGAATTTCTCTTTTCAGGGAAAATTTCAAATTATCAAAGTATTAGCTGTATACTGTACAAGTATGATTGTTCTTGTGGTTGACACTTACAGCAACAGACTGCATAGCTTTCTGTCCATTACTTGAGATTTCTTGAACCTTTTTTGCTGATTCTCCAGCGAGTAACATGCTGTAGATGCATATGATATTAATACCTTAAATTCATCAGTGACTGTATCCATCATTTAGTCCTACTTAAAATTTTCTTTCTGTTGCTTCACAGTATATGGAGCTTACAGTGCACATACAGTTAACTAAGAGAATGGAGCACGGGAGGCATGCACTGCTAATGTGTTGCCTCTCACCAATGGGTTCGAGTCCTGCCAGTCTCGGTGTTGTATGTGAGTAGAGTTGTTTGATGGTTCTCTCCTGTGCTTCAAGGGTTTTTCTCTGAGTTCTCTGGTTTTCCTCCCTCCTCAAAAATCAACTTCTATATTCCAATTCGATCTTTGGGCTTTCACCTAGTTGGAGCCTAGCTCTACTGTGATTGTCCCACGCTGTGACAGCAAAAGCTAAATAGATACCTTAGTAGTTGGTTAAGAGTGAATTTACAGCCCTGTATGCCATTAGAGCTATAGACCACTTGCATGTGACGTCAAAGGAGCTCAATTTGGAAGACAAAAGCAAAATAATTTCAATGTCCTCGGAATCAGAAACCAATTGTTTTGCCCTCTAAATTGAGCTGCATTCAGAAGTGCTGCAAGGGGTCTATAGAGCAGTGACAATCAAACATTAATTATCACAGACACTGTCACACATGGTACCTATTCAATCTTGTGCCAATCTGACCTTTCTGATGACTGTCAATGTTTGGACCACTTTTGAGTACAATGTGTGTATGATTCATTCTATAAGGGTATGGCTTTAGCCCTTGACTTGGCACCACATGCGAGATCACTTTTGTTTGTAATGGTAATTAATGGCAATACGTGTACTTACTTGACATCAGCTCCTGCTATCCAGCAACCAGGCTTTGCGGATATCAACACTGCACTAGTAATATTAGGATCATGTAATACCTCTTGCATTACCTATTAAAAAAACACAGAAAAAATGAAAAAAAGAAAAATCTATTAATGGGCTTGGAAGACATTTTACAGGAGTGATAGAGATTTGAAAAATACAGAAAAACCAAGAAATTAATACTGCAAGCTTTTATTTACCTCCTCAAATTCTCTAGTCAGTTTCTCAGATAAAACATTGACCTACAACACAAAATAATAATGACGATTTAATACCAATAATAATAATCATTTTAGGATTTGTTGTGCCATTTCATAGCATATCAAATCCGCTCTAACTGGGGAGATGTAGTTAGTACACACAAAACTAGTATGTTATGCATTCTAACTACAATAACCTGTTACATCAGGAATTACTTCTCTACTCCTTTACAAACAGAATAATCTTTCCAACAAGAACAGTACCTTGGATCCTGGTGTATCAAATTTAACAACAGCAACTCCATCTTGAACTTTATAACTAACATATTTATCTGTATCCAAATACAAACATCAAAAGTAAATAGTTAAAGTGTGGTTAATTAACATATTACTAAATTAAATTAATCTAAAATGCCTTCAAAAATTAATTCAAAAGTGGTTGCTATGTACTTGAATTCTCTCAAATCCTGAAACAATCTCTGAGCTGATCTTGCCTTAAGTCAGAATACAGCTAACTTGGATTAAATTGGGATTTGGGTGTCAATTAGGTTTTTGGGAGGAAGGAAAACTGAAAAAACTAGAGGAAAACGTGAATCAGAGACCCAGTAAACAACGAAGACAAGGGTATCTAACAACCCAACAATATATGTCATTTTGAAGTCATTTGAATAAAAAGTAAAACAACTATGATGATTCAGCATGGATTGGGGAGTGAGGGAGAGAGGGGAGTGAGGGAGGGAGGGGAGTGAGGAAGGGAAGGGGGACATTGTGGACTAGCAAAAAAGATTATAGATTCACTCAGCTGATTGATATCAAGCTATCTGTTGTTTACAGAGCATAATAATAAATAATAATAATAATAATGGGTACTTATATAGCGCATTTCAAATATCTCAATGCACTTCACATTGTTCAACCACCTCTTGGTTGTCTATTGTGCAAAAGGTCATAGTTCAAGCCCTATTTATTATTTACCTGTTGAGGTAGCTGTGGCGGCAGCAGCATTGGATTGAAATCTTGAGAAGATAGCTAAGAAAAGGATTCAACCATTATTTAACAGACATTCAAGAAGTTAAACACAGTATAAGAAGGAAATGATTGACTTAACTGAATTTCATAATTTGAGTCTCTTTTCAGACTAAAAGAGGCATTCTCACTAAAAATCTAAAATATTAGTTAAATATCATTTTTATGAGTTCCATGTCAGCCTATTTTAAAGCAGAAACGAGGCAATTAAAAAAAAATTCAATTATCAAAGGAAAAAATCTTATTAAATTGCCCTCCATCATGTCTGTCATAAGATCATTTGAGTCATTTGGTTGCACACTTTTTGCATGTTATTTTGTTTTAATCTTTCTGTTTTTTGTTTGTTTATATTACCATATTTTATATTATACTTCATATTTATTGTACAACGTTCCCTTCCCCTCCCCTAGTACAAAGTACAATACTGCACTACAAACAGATAGAATGAACTTTGCTCTGTTGATCACCATATCAATCAGAACAAAATAAAATAAAAATTATATCCGTATGCTCATAGGAAACACATGAATTCAAAAGGACGAACCCTAAACAAGTCATAATCAAATTAAAGTTTTCGTTATGTTTTTCACTTTGCATGTTTTCAGTCACCGGCACAAAACATCACGTGTAGCTTCGTCTTTCATAAAGTCAACGAAAAGTTGAAATCCTCCAATATAATTACCTGAATTTGACGAAGGGAGTAAACGCCGTCCTCCCTGAGCTGAGAAGCGCCTTACAGCTCCTCTTACAGCTGAGGAAAGCATATTTTTTTCAAGGAAAAAAGTGACAAAACTGGATTAGAAAAAAATACTACAGGAAGGCAATGACTGTGCGCATGCGCTCTTGTCGACGTAAGCAGCATACCCATGATGCCTTGGGAGATAATGTACAAAGTCCAAGATAAACACAGGTAGCCCAAGCCCAGTAAAATGGTAGAGACATATATATAGCGCTCTAAGTTTTTTCGTATGAAAATAAAGACATTTCCAGATATTCATTGTAAAAGGTTGCTACACTATCATGCATGCTATTTACAGCCATTATTTCCGTAGGTGGTGTCACTCAAACCTTTATCTTGTGTATTTCTATCAAGCAGTTATTTATTTCATTCGGTCTTTGATCAACCTTTTCATTTGAATTGAATCTGGTTATGTAGAATGGATAAAAGAAAGACCCTTTATTATAAAACTCGCTGAGCTACAACAATATGCGCAAGAATTTTTGTGGCACTCAGATTCTCAGTTTTGTGCGCAAAACTTATTCAGAACGAAGGACCGCTTCGCACTCGCCCAACAGCTGTGGTCTCGAGTTTAATTTACTTGGCTTGGACTAATAAATGTGAGCAGAGTTTAATTGTTACGTCTCTCTCTCTCTTGATTTGGAAGATTGTATCCGGGTTCTCCCTTTTTTCGCTCCGCAAAACCTAACAAAATCCAAATAGCTATACCCTCCACGTGGTTGTTTAAGTGTTTTTGTCTGACATGTTTTCAAGTGTCAAATTATTTTATATCGACAAAGAAATGTTCAAGAATTCTCCACCCTGCACTACTTTAGTGTTTTCCTGAAGATGGGGGCCGGAATAATAATCTAATAATAAAAAAATCCATAACACAGCTAGTTGCTATAGCAACAGTAGGTCTTCTCGGAAAGCCTTCCTATTGGCTTGTTGGAAATAAGTCTCATCTGATTCCCAAGGGTGTTTGTCATTTGGCCATGGTACTTGGCGCACGCATCGACAGTGTGCTGTTGCGTCTGAGTAGAACGAAAAACAGCAAGCTAGCCATAACGTTTGTGGTATCTGGTCACTCGTCATGGAAAGCCTGGATATAAAGATTTGGCGATTCTTACATGGTAAGTCACTGACAGTCTCTCCAGTGTACAAATCTACTAGACCTCGGACAATCTCAAAGCATTTCTAGTCCGGCCAATATCATACGCTGTGATTCTTGGCTGTTCAGGTTAGATTTTGTGATGCAATTTTCCGAATTTAATCGAATCTTTTGTTCGTTTTTTTGGTATTTTATGCCGTGGAAAAATCTTGCATTGATCAGGAGTGTTTAAACTTAGACATAACATGTTTACAACATATGCATAAATACAATTGGCAGCGATCCTGGACAATGGCGTGTCTAGACAATGTTTTGATAAAAGTCTCACTGCCTGCATGTTGGCTCCATGCCTGTTTAGCATCATGATGAATGATATAATCACTGAGTTTGCAAATTAATTTTGTTCGAGCCTATCATCTCCATTGTTTCTTATAGTAGAAGACGTACATCATTTATAATCTGCCTGCACAAATATAGTTTATTAAAATGGACGGATTCAGTACGATTCCATTTTTAGCTTGTTTCAAAGGTTGTTCAAGACTGGAAACACATAAAAAAATCGATCGCCCTGAAACTTCCTCTGGACTGATCAATGTCAGTTCACACAGCTAATTGACAGATCAAATTTGGGATTTAGAGCCGGTTAGGTTTTGCGGAGATTGGTACCCTGCGAGCAGAGAAAAGGCCTTGAATCAAGGGGATGAAGAGAGAGAGAGAGATCTAACAAACTCTAAACAAATGTGATAGTGTCGAGGTAGTTCAGGTATCCCGAGACCCCAGATCTAGGTGAGAGGACTATCTAAAACCCGGACGAGTGCCGACTACTGCTACGCAGCCCTCCGATGATAAGGAGATCTGTGCGACTATTTTTAGTCGCCCAGGGAGGCTCACCGGTAGAATAAAAGAAATTTTATTGAATTCCGAGATTCCGATGCGAGATCACCGCCGAGTCCTTTCTTTCAAAGGATGCAAAATCTAAGTGTACTCTAATCACAAAATAGTATCTTCAGAGATCCATGATGAATTTTATAGGTGGATATAACTTATAGTGTGAAACTGATTATCCATTTTGATTTCTCCTATCGTACCTCTCGTCATAGCATGGCCACCCCTGTTACTAGTACTGCTGTACGGTGGGAGTACCGGATTACGGGAAGTATATGTACCCCTCTCCCATAGGCTCCTTGAAGTGCGCGATTGCGTATCTGTACTGTACTGAATGTCACCGGCGACATTCCTATCGGGTATCGGATATCGTGTATCTCCACCCCTCCTGTCTAGATCAGCTGATCCCTTCAGATGACAATCGTTTTCACTCAGTTCATTTTTTTAGGATGCAAAGAGCTTGTTGGTTTTTTGAGTCTTGGACCTTCCATCATACGCGAGCAGACGGTACGCACTGGTCGTTTTTCGGTCATCTCTTCGATCGAAGGTGTTACTCTGGGTTATTCGGTTTTCCTTCAGCCAACCGCATGTGTGCCTGCGTTTTCGATCACTATTACTGATTTAAAAAATGAAAACCCTAGCTCTGATCTGCTCCTGGTTAACTACCATTGAAATACGCCCATTGTATAGTAGTACTAGGGACGGACCATTAGACTTTTGAGGGGCGGGGGGGTTGGGCAAAAAAACCCCAAAAAATTCGAGCACAGCTTTAAAGATTGAAAAAAAAAATCGTGCATAAGAAAAGTGCCAGAAAAAGATTCCAAATTCTGTCCCAAAAAAACTTCCTGCACAGCCATGAGTCGTAAAAATTCCTGCACAAAATAAATTGCCCAACCCCCTCTCGAAAATCTAATGGTCCGTCCATAATAAGCGTCCCTAATAGAGAACTCATGCTAGCAGCACAGTACGTCATACTGTAGTTGTGTACGTGTCATTTCAGACTCTTCGGGGCAGTGACTTCGTAAGAAGCTGTTTAGTTCCGGGAACTAATATTGAGATAACAGTCGACGTCATTCTAGATATAGTAAAAGTCTTTTTTTGCATTTATTCAATCTGGTGAATCTTTATCACTAACAATTTACTTGTCTTAAAAAGCATACTAAATAACCCAAAAATAAACAAATAATGTGAGAACAATGTTTATCCAGATTCAAATGCTATATATCATTCTATGTATGGAAAAAGTATACTTCAATTTTCATATTTCTAACGAAACCTTTTTTAAAGAATTCTCTTGTTGTGAGTAGCAATCAGATGGAATCGGATGTGCGTGGGAGTTCGTGACAGACTTGATTCACGCGTGACTTGATAGCAACGACCGGTGAGATCGAGACTCGTGGGCGATGAGAGGAACAATAGAGAAGATAAAACATGATTCCTTCAGTTCATGCATGCAGACTGTATTTCAATAGTACTTACTATCGCTGAGTTTAAAGGTTAAAGCCTAAATTTGTGACCTTTTGAAAATCGAGGTCAGAGGACTGACCGATCAGCAGGAACAAGAAGCCCGTCAAAAACGATTCGTTTATACAATTATCAGGTAAAGAGTTCTTTCACTGCGTATATTTTTAGAAGCCCTAGGTTTTATTTTTAGTGTCAATTATTCCCTTCAAAAAGCATCCTCTTCGTATATATTACTTTTCTATTTGAATTTCACGAGTTTTCTTTTAAAAAAAAGACACATGAACAGCATACAAGTTGTGATTGTTTTTCTTTTTTACCGTTCTTCTTGCGTGACTTTTTGAACAAAAATTTTCAAACAAATTAAGTCTTCATAATTTTAAGAAATTCACTATTAAGATCAAATCAAATATGAAATATGTTCAGATTTTTAAATTGATGAGCTTAAACTTATAGATAAATGATTAAATTTCAGAAGTCTTCATTGACGAAGCTTTTGCACCCACGACTTGTGCTGTTTGACGTCATACTCATTTCGAAAAACTAAGACTATTTACCTTTTATCTCACTAAACCGGTTCAAAATACTAGTAAGACTTTTAGATATTTATCATTAGAAAATGTACATTTTCCCTCTTAGAAAAATATAATATTTCTATATATTTGTGACTATTCTCGCCGAAAAAATTGCTAAACTACTAGTTAATTGCTTTCGCAAATCGTTAATATAAATATTAACTACTAGTTATCGTTATAAATTCTACAAAACCCACAGTATGTTTAGCTCACGGATGACATACATGTGCGCAAGGATTTGATGTAGGCTCTACTTATACAAAAAAAAAATTTAAGGATTTATTAACCAATTTTACTTGTAGTCAAAATAAACGTGTTTTTATAACATTTGTTAATCAGCAAGGCCCAAATGAAGTTACCTAAATCTTTTCTACGTCACATCGTCACACCTTCAATTTTATTATTTCCCATATATTTTCTATAAAAAAGCCTGACACAATTGCCCTAATTCACTATGACGTCACATCAAAACTTGTTTAAACGTGTCCGGGGTCAAATCAACGCAAATTCACCAAAAATTGTTCTAAGAAACCGTATCAATCCACGAAGAGAAGTAGAATAGCCAGCAAACGCTCAGAATATTTTTAGTACATACTAACACATATTATATCTGAAAAACAGGCCATTTTAGATTAAACTGTTTCGCTAGGAGCAAATTTTGTTAAATTTTCGTTTTGGCGATTCTAACATAAACAAGTAGTGACGTCATAGTGAATTAGGTCAATTTATTGGAGCATGCGGTAACCGGTCTTAAAGGCCGGTTTAGACGGTACGATTTTCGCCTACGACTATCGTATACAACACACTCGCGTCTGTCGTAGGCGAGTTGTAGGCTTGATTTACACGCTACGACTCGGGTTGTAGGATGGCTCGTGTTGTATGCGATAGTTGTAGGCGAAAATCGTACCGTCTGCCCGGGCGTCTGAACCGGCCTTTATAAATAAACCATGTCAATGCATATCTCTTACTGTATAAACGTGCTGTGCGAGCCTCATACTTCGGAGACAGACGCCAGTTGAGTATTGTATAAGTGTAAGTATTTCAATATGACGTAAATTGGAAATATTGACTGAAACATATGTTGTACGACGCAAGACATCTTAAAATCACTTTCGAATTTTGCGATAAGTTTTTCTTTTCATTTTGTTATTCGATTCTATAAATTTCAAAGGCCAACATAATGTGCATAGGAAAAAATCGAATCATTCACATTTTAACTATTGATGTCAATATTACTTTTGAGTTTTTGATACATAATATTTCTGGTTGAATCAAATGTCGGTGTCATCCCCACCCTACCCCCCTTGTCAAGCAACCATCTCCACAGTCATAACATTATGTCATCGTAGTCAATAAATATTCGTTTGCCCACATTCGAAGTGGAAACATTTTCATTCCTTTGGAAAGTTTCATAGTTTTATCAAACTCGATGAAACTAGTGATCCGGAAAGGGTAAAGAACGGTAAGACAGTGAAAAAACTTGTATTTCATTAGCAAATTATGTGTTAATTTTACGCACATTCGTAGACTCAATTCCTTGCACAATTTTTACCTTTCGTGTTTGTTATTATTGTTATTATTAATCCTCGAATGTTTTTCTACATAACTCAAGTCAGGTGATATTTTTTTATAGCTTCTTTGAACACTTAATCGAGTCTAAAACATTCCAGACAAGCCTGAAATTGGATTCAGCTAAGGGTAGGATTAAATCAGCGTCGCTCTCTCTTTAGAAATCGTCCAAAAAAATATAAATTCACCGCATTTTAGTGCTCCTATCGCCTGACCACATTCAGAATGCCTATATGATAGTCAAGTGATTCTGAGGAATATAAAGTTAAGCATAATAATATCTCTTAAGATTTCTTGGTCCGCATTTATACATGCATTTAATATTATAGTAGGGAACAGATTGAAGGAATATAACATATATAAGCTACATAGCGCTTCGAAAAAAAGTTCTAGCTATATTAGATCTTGTAATGCCTCAGCTTAAATTTGTTTTCGTTTATGTTTTTAAGAACCACAATATATCGTCTTTCACATGAAAGGAAATGAAATTTAAAGACGTGTGCTTCAAACTATAGGGTTAAAGTTGGTTGTATTACGTAGTTCATATTAAATTTATAACACCACTTCATTCATAAGTTGTAATGTTTTTGTCTTTTCATGTGTTGAAAAGTTGAATTAATAAATTCTTCTATTCATTCTAATCTTTTGAGGTAAATGTGGTTGGTGTTAATTAATATTCATAGTGTTCTAAAATTAAGAATATTAATACTTTTAATAAACATAATTTTTTTTTTTTAACAAATTTTATACTGGGCAAATGTTCTTAATTTTTCTACATTTGAAAAAGGAAATTTAGAGGTTTGTTAGTACTGAAAAAATTGGGAAAGATAGAAATAAATATATATTTTTTCCCATTAGATAGAAATATGGCTACTAGCCAACTGGAGTATTTATGTCTTGTCTCATTTGATAAACAACAATTGATTTGCAGACAGTTTCCTTAAGATCTTGTAGTCAAATGTCTGTTCTAGTTCTATCTAAATTTTTAATGAATACTTACTGGATTTAGCTAGAGGATTTTTTTACCTTTCATAAGCATAATGCTAAAGAAAATTACTATAATTATAGTTAATAAATATTTTAATGATAAAATCCAGGTTTTATTTGAGGATTGGTTAATTCAGATAGGCTTATAGCCTAACTTTGGCCAGACCCCCCTCGACTTTCATACCTCCATGACAACAGGGAGTTTCATTTGGGGAAAACCTACATAGCAAGCAGTTGATGTAATGTATTTATAGAAATACAATGAAATGAATTACACCTAATACAATAAATAGAACAATAGAATACAATAGATTTTCTGAATAATTACACCAACTGGTGTGCTTATTATATGCTGCAGGTTATAGACCCTAGCCCTTGGTGAATTCATACATTTACTGGGTAGAGCATTTTTACATTATGTCAATATAGTTGTACCTTTAAAAATGACTTTGTCATATAGCTTCCATCTCTACTGTCAGTTAACTCTCTAGGGACTGTGTGAAAATGCTTTATTTTATCAAGTCTAATCTTGATTTTGAGATATTTAATATGATCACTTGAAATTTGGGAAAGGTAGCTATTTTCCTAAATTTTCAATTGTCCACAGGAACTCTCCAAACACTAGTGGATTTCACCAAGTTGATCCTGTGTACCATGACTGGTCTATTCAGCACAGAATCCTCTGGGGAAAACCAAACAAGACAAAGCAGTACTCCAAAGATATTCCTCTGTAAAATATGTCTGTCCAATTATCCAGTGCACAAAGGACTTCAACTGAAAAAATGTGAATGCATTTTTTGTGAAGAGGTAAAGTAATAAGTCATTTATTTATGTCATTAATTTGCTGTTTCTGCCGTTGCAAGGAGTAGTGATGCATTTGCCAATGCCCCCCACCCTCTGGGGTCTCAGGTTTGATTCCTGGACTCACCATTGATATTCACATGCAGGTCAAGCTCATTAGGCCTCTTGCTCTCTTGATTCATTGGTTTTTCTCTGGTTTATCCACTAGTTGTCTCCTTACATGCAACCTAACCTCAACTCCAATACAATATCATTATTAAGCAGACACATTCATTTGGGTCTCACCTGATTTGTTTTACTGTACATAAATCATATGCGAAAAGAAAATTTTGGGGCCTCAGTGCAGCTGTTTGCTTATCATGCAGCTGTCTGCTTGATGTGTAGCTAGTGCAGCTAGAATAGGTCAGTTGGGAAGATGTTTTCACATAATTTATAATCGTTTTTGTGATGATTGTTTAATTTCTGGTTTTGGTACTATTCATTTTTCCAGTGTCTTAAACATTACTTAGAACATTCTATATCAGAAGGTAATGTCCTTGAGATACTCTGTCCAGATGGAGGTTGCTCCCAACAAGGAGATATCACACAGCTTGAGGTAAGCAAGAATATAATTTCGTTTTTAAGTGCAGGTATCCTAAAAAATGTGCATTCTGATTAACTGTTTAGCAGCCAGTAGTTATTATCTCTGATTGCAGTTTAATATCCTGGGATAGCAGATAGCTTAACAACAAGTAGAATTGCAAAACAACTGAAAAGTAAATAGGAAAAAAAAGTTATTTAATGATATTTCAAGACATTGGAAAATTTTTTCCCCTTTCTGGATAACGTCACCTTGCCAGTAAATGAATTCTGTATTTATGGCTGGTTTTCAGTTTTGCAGATCGCCTAGAGCAATGTAGGCACTACGTTCAATAAATAAAGCTTTATTGTTACAATACTACCATTTCGAGTTCGCCTTTGCTCAGTCTTAACCTTCATTGTGTACAAATGTGTTCTTTTGTTTTATTAAGGTCCATTGTATAGTAAGGAATGTATGCACTATGGAACAAAACGAGTTGATTAAAATGCTACGGGTTTTGGTTAAATAGCTGAATATTATAACACACAAACGAGACTGGAAAATAAAACTGGAGTATTTGTAACCTTGCAGAAACTCACGAGTCAATCTACTCTACTGACAGTATAAAAACTAACATGGCTCTAATTATTGTGTGTTTATTTTTGGTAACAGATTTCAAAGATCCTTGATGATTCCAAGTTTGACCAGTATGAAAGGTTGAGAAAGAGAAAAGGTACCTACTCGTATATGCAACATTTTTTAACTTCTTCATGAGGGATATTTATGTCTGCCACACCCCTAACACACCTACACAGGAATTTCAGAATAGCATCATAGCTAATGATACACACTTCCGAAATTCTCTTTATAACTCAAAAAAAATTCAGACATGACGTGTTTTGCAAGTTGTGTTAAAGCAGGTCATGATCAAGGCAATGCTAATTGTGCAGATTAATATTTCCTTGCTATGATAGGAAATGTATTATTAAATTAAGTCTTAATCATATTATATATATAACTATTCATGGCTTGGGAGGAAGTGTACACATACGTGGGTTGTGCTAGCTGTTCTTTCCTGGTTATGAATACTTCAAAAGAGGAAAATCAAATTTGTCTCAATGAATTTGAGGAAGTTGATGATAAGGATGCAAATTTACTGTGATTGCATTTTGTATTTTTGGCACTAGCATAGGTTATATATAGATTGGATTTCATAAAAGGAACTCATTGAAATATGTATAAATAGATTGTGACACTTCATAAAAACTATGATTATACAAGGAAGTGCTGCTTTAATGGTTTTGTTGTCTGTTCATGCATTATGTCAATATATACAAGAGACAGGAACTGTTAATCAATTAGTATATGTAATAGGACTCCATGCTGTCCAATTAAGAAATATTGGTTGAGGAAAATTCTGAGGACTTGCAAAATTGGATGAGGTCGTAGCCCGAGTCCAATTTGGCAGTCAGAGGAATTTTTCGAGTCTAATTATTTCTTGATTGGGGAGCATGAAACCTCATTACCTATTAATTATATAGCTGCCTAATTAATTAATCCCATATCGACAAGACCTGTCCAATTAAGAAAATAATTGGGCAGTTACCTATATGGGATTAATGAGAAGCTGTATAATAATTACTATTTATATTAATGATCAAATTACAGGAAACCCAATATTGTATTCATTTAATTCTTAGCTTGTCACTTAATCTCTAGCTAACACGATCTTAGTACAAAATTTTTGATTTTGTTCCCCCATTTGACCATTTAAATCAAATCTGGCTGTACGTACATGAGTCTTTGGCAAAACATGAGCCCAATTGGAGTACTGGAAATCTAATTGTTAATTCTATTGTTGATTATTGTATGTCGATTATTTTTCTTGTTAGAAGTAGCAGTTGACAAAAGCAAGACATTCTGCCCTATTCCTGGATGTGAGGGTGTCTGTGATGGAATTCCTGGCATGGCACAACAAACTTATTGCCAAGATGTGAGTATTTATCATAACTATTATGGAAAAAGAAAAACATCCCAGAGAAATCCTATGAGAAAGGGGTTCATGATGGTTACTAATTTAGATCTAAGAACAGAACTTCAATTTTATCAAACCCTAAAATGTGTCAAAAAGGCATAGTTAACTCACAACGTTCAATTAATTAGAATTTAGCATGTTTGGTTGGGTTGGGTTGAATTGTGTGACGAAGGAAAACAGAAGTACTCCAATAAAAACCATCCAAAAAAGAGAATACCTAGTAACAAATTCTACTTGCATATGACGAAAAGTCCATGGATCAAATCCGATACCCCAGGGTTAGAGGCAAGGGCACTATACTGCTACACTGCCATTGATTCTCATTCCTTGATAAGAGAGGTTTCATAATTCAGCTGGCTGGATTTATCGTTAGTTCGATGTTATCTCCATTTTCTTCCTTCCCATTTATTACTTTTATTGTCAATTCTTAACTTTTTCTCTAACTCAATTTCTGGAAAATGCTCACCTCCTCACACCCAAATCACCATAGCACCCATTTAAATAGACTACAAACCATCCCTGTGAATTCAATTCAACACTAAAAGTATACAGCACTTTTTTTTGATCCACTTTTTTCCTGGTTTTGATTAGTGTGGCTTTACCTTTTGCTTTGAATGCAAAGAGCCTTGGCATTCTGGGAGGACTTGCAAAGAATACCTAAAAAATTCAACAGATACAACATCTGGATTAAGGTATGGATTTTGATTACTGAACACTTGTTTTTAGAGGCCAAGTCCAATGTTTACGAATGAAATATGATTTGCAGGTTCATCGACATACTGAAGGAAGGAGGGACAAATGACATCAAGGAGTGTCCAATCTGTCAAGTCCTGATTCAAAGAGATGCTGGTTGTGCACAAATGATGTGTGGTAACTGTAAACATATGTTCTGTTGGCACTGCAGAAAGTCATTAGATGTAAGTACTGTGGATGTGGCTAGACGTGCCAGTTGTTTCAAAGATGTTCTTATTTTTGCTTGTAAGGGATACAAATGTAGCAATAACAAGCATAACAAGCCCACTTACCTCTTAACACAGTCACAAAAAGAATGGAGTGGAAATCCACCTGCCATTATATTGGCTCAACTTGTGCAAATGCCCTAATTTAAAATGAACAAAATTAATTTGATATTTACTTTTTTCTCATAATCCAGAGTGATATTCTACTCAGACACTATGACAAAGGTCCTTGCAGAAATAAGTTGGGACATTCTCGAGCAACCTTGTTTTTACACAGAACACAGGTATGATAAATAGGATTAATTAATAATAAACTGAGATATAGGGAAGAATGGGTGGGATGGCAGTGAGAGTATTCACCTCTTGTCGATGCCACCCAGGGTTCCGTTCCCAGACTTGGTGTTTATAGAAGTACAACAGTACCATTTTTGTGACTATCATTTTTACATCTGAATGCAACTTCAATATTTTTAATATGGCATTAAATGGATCCTACCTTATTCTTCAGGTTATTGCTGGTTTCATCTTTTTTGGAGCGATGATCCTCGTAGCCTCACCATTTCTTCTCATCATTTCTCCATGCTTCCTGGTGTCCAAGTGCTTATTCCGCAGAAGTGAACCTAGTTCTTTATAGACCAACTCCCAAATGTTTGTAGTAAAATAATGCACCTGCTAATCTTGAGTTCTAGAGATGAGGTGGTGGCCGGGTGAGTGTACCCGAGGGAATTTGACATTTCAAAGTCATTTTCCTTCCCTGGAACCATTAAAAATGTAAAATTCCCACCCCATGGAGTGAATCATTTCAATATGGGAATCAAGGGTGCCATAGAGACCTAAGCTTAACTTGGCATCGCATGTTATGCGAGGGTTTGTTGGGTTTCTCCCTTCCTTCAAGGGCTTCCTCCACTTTCCTTCCTTCGGCAAAACCTAACACCTCTCCCTTCCTTTCAGGGTTTTTTCTCCACTCCTGCAAAATCTCACACAAAATTCAATGGTATCCATGTTAAATTCCCTAACTCTGGAAGAAAGGGGATTAAGAGCACTTACAAATTTCTATCCAGATAGAAATCCTAAAGGATTTCAATTGACTTAAGCTACGACCCTTGAGCTTATRTAATTATTATTGTGAATTTATGAAATTTATGTAGCATACACTTAACATATAATTATTATATTGTTAGGTGCATAAGTATCCAATGCTAAGGATATATTTTTGTAAATTATTGCTCACTTTTTGTATAATACAAGTTAATTGTTGTGATTACAGCAAAAATCCCAAATTGTTAATGTATTTACATACTTTTACGCTCAAGTAATTTGTTATAAAACAGATAGATTCACATCCAATGGATAGATTTAATCATTTTATCACCAGGATATGTGGCAAGAATATCATTCCTTGAATGACATTTTTGTTCAATGAAGATCTATTGGCCACTTCTTAGCAAACTACCTTTACTAGAAGATGTTAACTATAGTGATAAAAAATATCCCACTTCACTGAAAATATATATCAATGAACTTCTTGTGACATCCTTCCAGATTAAATTACGCACCCCCTTAAGTACTGTATAATAAACGAGCAGGAGTGTTTTATCGGGTATAAAACACGAGGCGTAGCCGAGTGGTTTTAGACCCGATAAAACACGATCTGCGAGTTTATTGAACGGCTTAAAAAACTCCTGATGTATGTTCTCATACTGTACCGAATTCTTTACGAAATGAACCAAGTTTGATAGAGAAAATCCAAGTTAAAGTTTATGCAAATGAAGACGAATCTATATCAGATATAAAATCACCTTCATGGTCATGACTTCTATTGTGTTTCCTTCATGAATTATTGAGTTTTTTAACATCTTTAAATAAATGCACTTGAAGATTTTTACTACCTCAGAAGAAGACACCCTTGGGAACTTGCCTGGCGTTTGCTTAATTTAAGTTTAGGGATTATGCAACTAGCTGTCTGTTTAATGAAGGGTGTCTGCTTCATAAGGGGTTTGTTTAATAGAAATATCAGTGTATGCAAATACAAGAACTTGTCACACATTTAGGATTTGTGCTGTAATAATGAAGAATGACCTGTATACTGATATGCAGAATTATTAACACCAAAGTGTTGTAACTTGAATGTGTTGTGTTGTAGCAATGAATTGAAATTTGTAAATGTTATGCAAAGAAATCTTAGTTGAAAATTAAATTTTACTTAGTAAAGGAAGTCTAGAAAATAAATATTAAAACTTCTAAAAAAACATGCGATAAGCCAATGAAAAAGAACAGGGTTGGATCCAGAATTTTTTAGTTTTAGGAAGGGGGCTGGGTCATGTACGCCTCCTGCACTGCTCCCCTAATTCCCCCTGAAGAAGATGCAGACATTAATTTACGACATGACAAATAGCCCTACCCTAAATCAATCATTTTGATAACATACTGCAATGCCTCTCAGGTAATGCAATAAGGATTTCTGCAATTTGTTGAAGAATCAAAAGAAAATTTAAGATATTCTTAGAATGAGCAGGGATGCCACAAGCGACCCAGTAGCTACAGATTCCTATTAATTTATGTAGATGAAGTCTACTTAAATGAATGGGAATGAATAGGAATTTCTGCAGTCTTCCATATTCTGTGAACTCGGTAGTTGGACCTGCACGCTGAAATTTGGTTTTTCCATACCGTTCAATCAAAAATGATCAGTCGGTACCTTTTATGTTCTCGACTGGCTGCAGTAAAAAAAAAATTCACAAGCTGTTGAAATTTCCGAGTTTGCAGAATATCAAAAACTACAGCAATGCTCTGTCCAAACTAAATTAGGGTACTGGTAAGTTGGAAAATTTTTTATACTATTGTGTATTGTTCCAGAAATCATCCATAACCACACAACAGAGGAATTTGGAATTTCTGAAGAGTAGGAGGTTCGGAGAAAGATTAAAAATTACAGAGTTTGTATTGGAAGAAAATTGAAATTTCTGGGAGTTAGGGGGTGTCTTACAAAAATTTCTCCGTGAGGGGGTATGGATAGTTTTTGGAACTACACATAAGTTCAATATAGCTGTACAGAATTATTGCTTTTCAGTATAAAAGGGGTAGAAAATGGAAAAGAAATGTTTTCAAAAAATTCAGTTTTTCTTTTTCATTTTTGCCACTTCCTGCTTCAATATTTATACTGGATGGATTATTTTGATTCATGGGGTTTAAAACAGTAATAAGCAAACTTGCAACCAGGTTTTTTTTTACTATAAGCAAACCAGTTTATTTTTTCCCTATCACCAATTTCCTAATTTGAACAATTAATATTTTTTCTCCTAAATTTCTGGCTTTATGTGGATGCTAAAAACATGTCTGTTATTGCTGAAGGAAAGTCACACAAGCAGCATGGTAGCCTCCACTTATTCAGGGTTCGTTCTGCAGTTCAGTGCAAGCTGCAAAGAGCAGTGTCTCATGCTTTCATTCTGAAACTTGTGAAGCAACCAAATCTTTAAATTTTATCAATTCTCTGAAACAACCTCTGGGCCTATAAGTCAGACAGCTACCTCACAGATCGAACCCTGAACCACCTTTAGGCTGAACAACCTCTAGGCTGATCAAATTCACGGCTAAGCTAACTCACAGATCAAACCCTAAAACAACCTCTTGGCTGAATAAAAGTTAGGGCACTGCTAACTCACACATCAAACTCTGAACAACCTCGGGGGCATGGCTAACTCACAGATCAAACCTGAGAGACCTCTGGGCTGATAAAAGTCAGGGCACATCTAACTCACAGATTAAACCTGACCTCTGGGCTGAACTAACTCACAGATTAAACCTGACCTCTGGGCTGATTTAAGTCAGGGCACAGTTAACTCGCAGATTAAACCCTGACCTCTGGATGGCTGATTTTAAGTCAGGGCACAGTTAACTCACAGATTTAAGTGGGGAAAATTTCTTGTGTTGCACCTGTATCACAAGTTCTGACTACAATATTGCCATATTAATGGATGATACTAATACAATATAATTTAATGAATGAGAGTCATAAACAAACCTTTGGAAAAGCATGTATGAAACAAACCACAAATAAGAGTAATTATTACCAGAACATGCAACATCCATGGCCAGTTTGTTACATTATATTGTCAATTACAACTTATTTTACTAACTAATAGCACTGTACTTGAGGGAATAAAACTTTWAAAAAACTGAGTCCTGCAAAAACTAAAATTTTCTGGCTAAAACTTGTATGATATTGAAGATTGTTCTAAGTTTAAAGTGTATATGACA